CTCTGTCTCCAATATGCTGGTGCTGTTGATTTGCGACTTCTCGGCAACATTGCTTTTTTATGACCAAGTTATGTTGTTACAGTAATTGTTGCCCATCCTATACTATGCGCTCACATGCATGACTTTTTGCTTGAAAGAAAACTTGCGCGAGCGCTGGCCACTGCTTGTCAAGTGCTGTGAAAAAAGGCGGCGTCCACTCTCGAATAGAGCCACGCTGCAGTTCTGTACATCGTTCTTTTCAGGTTCTACCTTGGTATAATCCTTGGCAACAATATTGACCTAACGATGAGCAGCACTGAGCGGTGAGTCCTTTTACACTATGAGCACGAATGTTTCCACATATTGCCAGTTTTTATCGCTTCAGATTCTACTTCAAAAAGGACTACGAGACCTTCAAGTTACGATTCACCATTTTCAATTTGTTTCCACTGGCTATCGCGTATTTCTTCCCATCACGGTAAGTTTTTTTTCCACGAAAATAAAGAAGGATATAAATGCTTATTTCTTATTGATCAGTTCGTGAATGGAACACCATCGAAAGACTATTCCCCGACAAGGGCTCCTCTGAGTTGCGCGCTTTTTGCTGGCTTTTGAAGGGTATTTGCCGCTACATGCACAATAAAAGTCGCACGTTATTATGTTGGTCGGTTTCGTTTCTTCCACTGCCTTCATCTTCGAAAGAGTTATCTATTTCTTTCTAGTTTTGGAGTCCTCACAGTAAGCTCAGACAGTGCTGAACGTGCGTTCTTTCCGGGTTAACCGCGACGCTAGTAAAAAATTTCGTGGATTTTACGAATCCCACTCCCACAGGTCTCGATGCGATCCATTACCACCAACATGATATGGGAAGGAGGTTGTCACTCACAAGTACGGCCTCCCTTCCCACCACTCCACCACCACCCTCATCACAGCTGTTTCTATAGGATTTGATTCCGAAACCCTGAGACCAGTCGGTGCACTCTGATTCCACTCTTTTCCATCAAAACGGTCTTCGAGCGGAGACAGGCGAGAGGAAGGAGGAGAACAAATATGCTCACTGGAGCGGTATATACTCCAGTTTTGTCCATTTCGCCCATTTCTTTTAAGATTGTCATCAAATATGTCGAAAAACTCGTGAAAATCCTCTCCCCTCCACCGCAACACCGCCTCCAACATCCATCTCCAACCGTCTTTGAACATCTCTCCCCCCTTCTTGTCATCATCCCAACCACCCAAAATATGATCCTCCCCTTCAGAAAATTCAAATACGGCCCTTTCTTTGGTAAATGACCAACGGAAGGGTCGACTCTGCTTGGTGAGGTCTTCTTCTTCAGTCTTCTGCCTGAACAGTTTGTTAGGCATCGCCGCTTTTGCTTCCTCATTATATTCAAGTTCACTGAAAATTGTGATTCCAGCTCTTCTTCGTGAATGCTCAAACCTTTTTTTTAGCATTTTGCTATTTATTTTAATAACCAAACTTTGTTTTCACAACTTTCAGGCCTATGGATGCGATATGCCATTTCTTGATGGTGTGGTATTACTGTACTCTTACAATCCGAGAAAGCATTCTTATCATCAATGGCTCCAAGTGAGCAATTTTTCATCAATATCGGCACTCGTGACGACGAGGTTGCGGGCGTAGTATGAAACTAAGTCTTCAGATTGGGTTCCTGGTGGGTGGCTCATCACTATCTGGCTTGTGTGATCGGTGGTGTGGCTCTTACTTGGCCAGATGATGCTTCGTATCAGGTTAGCGACCTCATCATTTTATTTTTCTTAGTCGCCGTGGAATTTCTACGGATTACAGATTTACGGATCTCTACGGATTTCTACGGTAACAAAATTGATGTTTGCGGTGGCTGTCTCTAACCACTGAATTTATTGGAATAGAGCAGACTCGTATAACCACCTATAAGCCATGCTTACATAAAATTAAGAGTACAAGTGTGAGAGTGAGAAGAGCGGAAGGGGTATAGTTTCAAATGACCACGTGCACGATCCGTGGTGTCGCGTTAGCGACGCCTACTAAGGCTCTCATCATTCGGATCCTTTCCACACTTGTAATGTAGGTTGAACTACCATGCCTCAAGGCGGCCATAAACGCTGGCTGCTTAGCCAGATAGTACAAGAGCTAAGTTTGATCAACTCTCACCGGGCTCACTGCGTCCCTGCTTTGTGCCATGTTCCCACCCACCGGGGTCATATTTGGTATTTCATGAGAAGGGACCGTCTCTCTGAGTGGGATTGTGCGAAGGTATTTTAGTGTTCGAAATTTTCACAGAGGGACGGTGAGGATTGTTGAGGGAACATGATATAGCGAAGACTACACAATGGTGCTGGAGCGACAAAATTGAAGCATTTTGTGCATATAACCCCTCCTCCCGTCCTTTCGCCCTTTGAACACGGAGTTTCTTGCGGAATAAGCGGCGGACCCTAGAAGTGCTGTAGACTATGTCACAGACTCAATACTATAGAAACAGTCTTACTAGCGCAGGATGGCGTGGGGTCGTGGTGCGCTGGTCAGTGAAAATTTGACATCCCGCCACGAGTGACGGTGACCTTGGTCCAACCGTCCAGGTCAAATAGAACTTTGTATCTTTGTCGTCGGTTTTGTTATCAGCCCTTGTCCTTGTAGACAAGGAAACACTGAGCTTGTCAGTTTTCTGACTCTGCAAGCCATCTTTGTAAAACCAACGTGAAATACCTCACTAGCGATGTCGTGCTTGGAGCATTATAGAAATGCGTGAGGCATCCAACACAACAACCGATAAGCGCGTAACTCTACTTCCATCCTCTACCGTTTATAAAAGAAGGGAGTTTCTAAACAGATGTAGTACTAGTCAATGAGACGGAATGAGCTGGCCTTCAATCTACCACTCATCATGGTACATTTCAAGATTTAGAGTAACGTTGAAGATCTGCACGATATGTCACACTAGATGTATCGGCAAATGACCTTGACGAGCCGCCAGTGCTTCTCTAATAGGTCCTGGCAGCGTAATAACCAAATTGTGCTCATCCTCCCCAATCTGCTGAACATCCTTGAGTTTGATGCCCTTGATGTCCTGTGGCCGCCGATAAAATGAAGAGAGCATTTGTGAATGGTGAAACGCTTCAATGACTTTTGGGGATTTTTCCAAACCTCTTCATGATCAACTAATCAAACCAGCTATATATGTGATTTATTTATTTGTTTATTTATTACACCGGAAAAGGCACGCACATAATGGAGAGCGACATTGCCGTACACCTAAGCACTCCGAATGACTAAAAAGCAATATAGAGAGAAGAAAAGAAAAGACGAAAAGAGTTAACGGGTACAGGAACAACAGTGAGGAGTATTATATGACGAACACGGCCCCCGCGTCTACGGCAAGCAATGGTGCTCGAATAATTATCTGTTTTTTCAGGCTTCCACTCAACAATTCTTGCTGTTTGGCCCGGTTATATAATGCCCTTGTGGCAGCAGTGCAAGTACCAATGACATAGTGGTTGCCGTTCGACGGCTGCATTCCGCTGGCCACGGCGACTACGATGGACGTGACCCTCGTAAAGGGTTGACATTGGTTCCAATGTTTAGAGGCCGTGTTTACAATGTTAATTTCCTTTTCGATCCGCGGTTCAAAAAGCACTTAGGGGAATGCAACGCGATTCATGGGAAAACCATAAGGATTCTTTTTTTTTTCTGAGAATCCTTCCTTTTTCAGAGGGTTTCGCCACGTGGATGTTCCAAGGCCTTACGTTTCTGCCTTCCCTTCTGGTCGTAATGTACCTGCTAGAACTGAACAACGCTTACACGCTGTACAAATTGTGGAAAACTCAGGAGTGTGCTTGGCAGGTTAGTCTTACATAGCGCAGATTGAACTAATGTTGTACGGTTTCTGAACGAAGAATTTCATTACATGGACTCATAAATCCAGGTACCAACACTTTCACTGCTGTTCCTCATCGTCGGTGTTGGAAATATCGCCATGGTTTCGCTAATTCGTCTTCAAGAAAATGAAGGAAAACGGGAAGTCACGTGTGAAGAAGATTCTTCAGCGCTATCCCTCAATAGCTAATTTCCAGTAGTTTATTTGTTCATGAGAGCACGTGAGGGCGTAGCGTTTGGCGACGAATGTTTTTGTACTAGACTTTGTGTAGATTGTTCTAAAGGCAAGTAGGGCGTAGCACTTTGGTGCTGAACGCTATATGTCGTCATGATTCATATCTAAGTACCTCATCATTATAGACCACTTCAGTGACAAATCATATAATCGTATAACTTCGTATAATGTATGCTATACGAAGTTATTACGCTGTTTTTGCATGAGCAGTTGACAAATAAGACACAGTCAGCGTTTCCGCTAAAAGCAGTTGTGTTGTATATACACTGGTGTGCAAAAGTTAAGGACGAGATAGATAAATTGTCCTAACTTATCAACAATCAGATGGAATTGGATGAGGATGACATAGAAAGAGAAAACTCGTGCGAGGGCATTACATAATGCTAGAAGCCCTACAGTCATGGGCACCGAAGTGGGCCTCATATGTCTTGCATCCGGCTTCAATCTGGAGCCTAAATGGGGTGGCCACCCAGAACGATGGGTATCGTGGGGCAGGACAAGAGGGGTGAACTAAGCAGGGAGAAGTGACTGTGGAATGTAGTGGTGTTCTTGATTACATCAAGTCTCAGAGACAACACTAGGGTGACTTTACGCGAGGAAGAATCATTGGGAAACTGAAAAAAGGAAGTTGTGTCCAGGAGTTTTGTGTCAACCACAGCATTGTTTTTTGTGCATGAGAAGCAATGTGGACCGCAGCCACTGCTGTCCCAAGAAGAGGAGGTTGTGGGTCACGAACAACCGCAGCAGCAGGTGATTGCTAGGTTTTGCTACAGGCAAAAATGGACCCACGTCAGTCACATGCTGCAGTTGCAAAAACATTTATCAGGATTGTAAGGCATGTAATCCCAGTCCGGACAGTGGCGCAGTGACCGCCTAGGAGTGATCTCTCTCATCGATCAACAATACCTGTATTCATTTGAAATCCACGCCTCGGCTGGGACATTTGGTACGAGCCGAGACATTGGAGATGGACCACCGAATTGAAAAATCGCGTATTCTTCCCGGTCAAGAGCAAACTGAATGTGAGTAGTGATTCTGGACTTACCTGCATATGGGGAAAATAGGAACGTGTAATCTACCCAGGACCATCGTTTAACATGATTGTTTTGGTAGTGCATGCGACATGATGTGGGGAGGCATAAAGTTGTCGGGGCGTACTGATCCCCAACTCATGATCGCGTTACACTTTCTGATCAACGTGATTGTGGTGTTGTACCCTTCTGTCATGTGCATCTTTCCAAGGGTTCCCTTGCCCTCAGCTTCAATCGTATGGAGGGCAGTGTGCGAGAGTATCGAGCAGCCTGGGTGGAAAACTCTTGAAAAGTGAGGATTTTCGGTAATTGGTGAAGCCATTTATTTCCTCCAGTCTAATTCTATGGAGCACGTGTGGCGTGGATTCAGATGAGCTATTGTAGCACATGACCATGTGCCAACAATAGTCCTGCAGTTGTCAATCGCGGTCTCCAAGGAATCGGTCACTTCTCCTCAAGAACTCTTAACTAATCTTACGGCCTGTATGGGAACACGTAGCAGAGCATACCTTGCAGTCCGTAGTGTTCATACACCCCATCAAGAACCAGCTCCTCTCTTTTGAATGTCTACCATGAGTTGGAGAAGCCTCACCTATCGACCGCTTCAGACAGGGTATTTGCAGAAAAATGTCTTTTCCAATCGCCCCTTTGCGCTTTTCTGTTAGTAACTCTCTGCACTGTACCGCAACATTTACTTCTATATATGTGCCAAATTTGGTCCACCTAGGTTAACTAGCAGTGAGATATCATGTGAAAGTTACTTCGGTCCTTAAGTTTTGCACACCAGTGTAGTTTCTTTAAGCGAGATCAGCCCTCGGCTCTGATTGACGTTACGTCCGTAAACATTAGTGTGCGCTCGTAGTTCATATTCAAATCACAGCAATAAAGAAGAATTCGACTGATGGATCGGTCGCGTACAGTAGGAGGCGAGGAAGGGGTGCATGGAGAGCAGCACCGAGCAGAAATCAAGTGAGACATCCACGAAAATTTGCGGATACGAAAACCTAGACCGGAGCAGGTGTGTTGTAAATGGTGGCCGTTTTCAAACGGGTATAAATTTTTCATTTAGGCGTAATTAAAGCGAGGAATTACGATGAGAATGAGTTGGGTTTATAGTGGAAGTGGGGATGCTGAATAACGCCTAAGTGGTGAAAATTACGAAAAAATCCGCCCGCCGAAACACCCATTATTCTCTGCGTTGATCTCTCGATTGAGGACGAGCATGCCAGCTGAAGGGAGTTGATTTGTACATGGTCTAATCACGAATGACCGCTTAGCACTCCACCGCAAAGATCAATGTTTCAGTTGATGACTCATTTCACGGGGAAGTTACAGGAAGTGGAATCTGCAATCGAAATGGTCATGATTATTAATGCTGCTAGCAACACACTGGTGGGCGGAGCACAAGCGGCGGAGGCGGAGCTCAGGAAGATCGGCAGCCCGAGAGCGCTGAACTAGCGCACCTTTGCCCATGGAAAGGCCCCATCTCCCTTCCTTAGGCCCCTGCACCTACTGCTTCCACATTACCTGTTTTCTCATGCTTGCACGACACATTGCTGCTAAAAGAAAAGAAAGGAGAGTTTGGGGGAGTTGCTCCAACTAAGCTTATTTCTTTCCCTAAAAAAACTGGGTGGATTCGTGCGATGAGAAGTAACACGTGCGGCAAAATTCGCAATGAAAATTCTGGGAACATGCGAGTTTTTAGCATCTAGGATCCACCACCTCATTCAAACGCATACTATCGAAAAAGGAAAGATTATGAAATAAATATCTGCAGCTTTTAGCTGTTTGTTACGAGCAACTACGACGAAGCTTTATCAAAAGATTACGCTGCTGAGGATGTTTCTGCTCCGCCGATGTCCACGATGTTTGCGAATCGAGCGATTCGCTAGCGATGCTGGAACCGAGCGTTGCGCCACCGCAGGGAAGTGTGTCTGTCCCATAAGTTGTGTTGTTTCATCCAAATAAGGATGCTTCTTTGAAAATTCTATGTTTTCAACGTTATGTCGTGGGCAAAAAACTATAGTCATTGATGTTCCCTGAATCTCGTCCAAACTCTTCCGAACATTCTGCTAAAAGGTTGTCGCATAGGCTTTGTAGTTTCTTTCTCGAATTTACATACTTTTTTGGTTAACCGTTGATCTCAAGCTGATATTTACCGTTTAGAAAACCCATTCCTTTTATATCAGGTGATATAAAATGTTTTTTGCCCGCTGTACCCATGGCCAATCCGATCCGCCATCTTTTGTTTTTCCGCTAGCAATTTAGGTCTCGGATTTTAGCCTACGTACGATTGTAAGGCGTTCGCAGCTCCACGAGCACAGTCCCATCATTGCTTCAAATGAAAATTTTTACCCTAGAAGATAACTTGATCAAATAAGCTTGCATTTCCCTTTTAATCCCGACTTGATCTCAACATTCCACGAGTTTTTCAACGCCTCTGCCGTAGAAATTTGGACCCGGATTCGGCGAGAAAATGCTTGCTCTAGCGGAGAAACCCAATTTGGAAAGAGATCCACCACTTGTTGGGATGCATAATAACGTTACTTCCAGAGAAGGTCTTTGCTAATTACAGGGCACATCATCGATCGATTTGTCGTTTAGGGAAATAGGGTAGAGCTAGTTGTTTGCTGGCTTGTTGTTTCTTTACTGGACTTCCCATCTTTCGTAGGCTAGAAATCAACCTAACTGGCAAAGCCAAAATGAACCGAAAAACCTAAACGTTTCTTGTAAGGACCAGTACAAATGTTCCGAATGGCCTGAAATTGTTGGTATATAAAAACATGATTCAGCACCAAAAATCCGCTCGATCAAAAGGCAAGGCTTGTGCGACATTTAATACTTTTTGGTTGTTCAACAACCGTAGCTTGTTTCGCAGATAATTCTGTGCAGTATTTGAAGCAGACGGTTGTTTTCCTTGGGTTGGTAGACCGTTACTTCCGATGAACTCATGTGAACAATTTTGAAGAATTCCACTTATTATCGTTCCGTCCACGTCTCATGATGCATCTAAACATCGACAGAGTGCTAATAAACGGTAACTTTTGCCATCTTGGATCTCAGGAAAGCACGAAGAAGCGAGTGCTCGCAATACACAGGAGGAAAGGGAGTGGCGTCCAGGGCGTCCTCTGCTGTGGCATGACTTCACTTAGATCCTTCTTGATCACGTCTCTCCACCTCTTCTTTGGGGCTCCTCGCGGTCGCTTGCCTTGCACTTCGAAGTCCATCGCTGTTCTTATCGGATGATCCTGTGGCCTCCTTAGCACATGCCCATACCATCGCAGACGCTGTTCCCGTACCTTCAGCTGGACAGGG